GTCCCGAGGTGTGACTCCCGGGTTCCCGTGCTGCAGGGCCCCAGCCTGGCACAGACGCTCAGCCGGCTCTCCAGTCCTTCCATGCGCCCTCAGAGCTGGGACCCGGACACCGACCCCAAGCTTGGACCGGTGGCCCCCCCACGCCGGCCCTGCAGCCGCCTGGTCACGGTCTGTCCCCAGAGCAGGACATGGCGCCTCTTGTTGGCGAGTGTGCCCACGGACCTCAACACAGTGACGCCCCCGGCAGCCTAGCGGTCTCCTCCGGGCACACTCAGCCCAGCCACGCAGCTGGAACTTGACCCGTTCACCAAGCGGGCTCCGGGCATGGTCTGGTCCGGCCGCCTCTCAGAACCCACGGCCAGCACGGCCCTGGTGTGCCAGGAGCCACACTGCTGTGCGGTCGGTTCCCAAGGAAAAGGACGTTCATGTGGCCTCTTGGAGTAACAAGGAGCTTAACTTGTCATGACACTGCTCTGAAAGCCAGCCGTGCACGTTAAAATGTTGTTCGCTGGGAGTCTAGGCTGTCTGCTGCCGGGAGCCAGTGCCGGGGACGGGAGGGAGGTGCCGTCCCTCTGCCCCCGCCGTGCCAGCTGCCACAGTCCACACAGCTGGCAGCGCGTGGAATCGGACAGCTGGCTCTGGTCTGTCCACCTCCCAGGGGGACAGCCAGCCGGGGGCTCAGGGACAAGGCAGGGAGGGGGCTGCCGGCTCCAGGCCACCCCTCCTCTGAGCAGACAACCCTCCAGCACTGCTCAAAACCCGTGAACAGGACACAGATTAACACAGTGAGAAAAAAGTGAAGGAATATTCGTTTCTAAATTCAGAGGTCAAGTTTTGCTCCTGGGGCTTAAAAAGCCATAGTCCATCATAATACAAAATCTTAATCCAAGACAGGAGGAGGTTCTCTCACCTCTGATAAAAGCTATTGTTCTGTAATTCTTTTTATTGTTTAAAACAAAAGAAGAGCTTCAAGGCCTGGCAGGCTGCCAAGTCCCACCAACAAGGGGCCGCTCACAGCCAGGCCCCTCCCAGCCTCCTCTAGGCGCCGGGTGTCAGTGCCGGGTGTCAGTGACGTCCCCAGAACAAGGCCACTCCCGGCTCCTCACCTGTGTCTGAGCTCACTGAGTCCCCGGCGTTTGGTAGCCGCATGTTCATGAGTCACCATCACACATACACGGGGGATGGGACGGCGCGCACACACGCACGTGCACACGTGCACACACACACACACACATGCACACGTGCACGCACACACGCAAGCGCGCGCACACACACACACACACACACACACACACACACACAACACAGAGCTGGGCGCCCGGAAACAAACCCACAGACGCCGACACTCGCGGGCGTGGCTGGAAGGCCGGCGTCGCACAGCCCGGACTAGGCAGGCAGCACGCCAACCTCAGCTGTTCCTCGTCCGCAGCGGCCGCCAGCCGTCTGGCCCGTGCGTGTGCGCAGAGGCTCCCGCGCCGACGGGAAGGGCCCAGCACAGAGCTGTGCTTGGGGAAGGCACTCCACCTGGTGAGGCCACAGACACACAGTCCCCAGGGCCCTGCGGGCATGGCCGCGTGTGACAGGGGTGGGAAGGGGTGAGCGGTGCTGGTCTCTGCGCCATTTTCAATTAAAACAACCAAAGCTGGACGCAGCCTGAAAGACCCTAAAACCCAAAAACCCAGTGACGTTAGCATGGACGAAGCAGCTGCGAGATGTGCCTGGAACCTCCCGTCTAAGCCCCACGGGCCGCGGCCTCCGCAGGCAACCTGACCGCCCGAGACAGCCCTGCAGGCGGCAGCAGGCGCTGGGCTCACTCGGTCCCCCACACTCGGTCCCCCACGCTCGCCTGGGGTTCCCGCTCCCAGGAAACGACAGGAAGGCAGACGCTCACCTTCTCTCCACCAACACAGACTCTGGTCCCTTGAGAGAGGCCACCGGCTCCCTCCCCGTCGTCCCCCTGACTGAGGAGACAGCACCCCTCTGGCCCGGCCGCCCTGACTGAAGGCCCACGCTGTGGGGTCACTTCCAGACTGCCGCAGGGAAGCGATGTCGCCACAGGGCGGGCGGTCATCTTGCGGCCGGTGGAGGGTCTGGCCTTCGGTGTGTAAACACACCGCCTGAGAAGCACTAAACCGAGGCTGCCCGCGCGGCCCGAGGCCACAGCGCCCGTGGGCGGCTGAGCAGGAGGCAGCACAGGAGGCGGCCAGAGCGGGTCCCGCAGGCCCACACCTGCCGGCGGCCGGAAGCGAATCTGAGCCGCCCGCCGCGTCTCCGGACCTTGCGGCCCGTCCTACAGCCTGTGGGTCTGCAGGGGACGGGGGTGTCTGCGCGCGGGTGGCCCCGCCGACACCTCAGGCAACAGGAAGCCTGGAGCAGGCCCTGGGACAGCCGGGGAGCCCCTCTTTCCACTTTGGGCACGCCCCCACCTCGGCGTCTCTAGCAGTGACAGCTCTGGGGAGGCGACGGCACAGGGAAGCTCTCATGTTGGCCCCCCCTCGCTGACGGGGCAGCGGGACACTACATCCGCTTTTCCCTAAGGGAGCCACGCAGAGGAAGCACCGTGGAACCTTCCAGACCTGCAGCTGCCTGGACAGACCAGAGCGGGAGCTGGGCCAGCAGGGGCCCCGCCGGGCCGTGCCCACAGTGGGAAGGCCACCTTTCCTCATCACCCCTCCAGCTGGGCTTGGGGGGGACAGAGGGAAGCTCCGCCCGGGACGCCCCTACAGTGAGGGCACCAGAGCCCCCTCCTCTGGCCTGCGGTCAGACCCTGCCTTTCTGCCCGAGCAGCTCCCGCCCCGTCACAGCCCAGCCAGCAGTCCAGTGACTCCAAGAGCGTGGAGTCCCTGGGAAGGGCCTGTCACCGCCCATCCGCTCGGGCACCTCCCGAGGCAGCCCTTACCTTGCACCGCGGGGGCAGGTGGCTCTGGCGGGTCCATGCTGCAGCTCAGGAGCCCCTGCGGGGAGGAAAGACAGGCGGTCAAGGCCAGGCGCACCGGGCGCTGCAGGGACAGCCCCGGAAGGAGAGGCTGGGTCTCGGCCACAACTGACGGCCCAAGACGGCAGGACAGGGGAGCCTCCTGGAAGCGGCCTGGGAGCCCAGCGCCCTGCCCGTCCCCACCCCCGCACCCCGCGCAGGGCTTGACCCGAAGCCGGGCTCCCAGGCCAGACCCCTCCCGGCATCCTTCACTTCACGTCAGACCACAGGCTGAGGGCAGACAGGCACGTAAGTCACTCGCTGTTCCTCCTCTTCCTCCAACTAAAACTTCAGGCTCTGAGTGAAGAATTGCTTGCCCAGGATAAGACCACGCTGACCGCTTTCTTAACCGAGTTCTGCGAGTCTCCCTCCGTTTTCTCTCTTTTCTGCATTCCTCATCTCCCTGCGTGCTCTCAGGAAAACCCAGCCTGGGAGCAAATGCGATACCAGCTCAGTCATGAGGTCAGCCCCCCGCACCCAGGAGACCACCGCGTTCACCAAGTTCCTGTCTGCTAGGGCTGCACCATCAGACCTGTCCTGGCTTCCAGTGACCCCGGGTCCCAGACACACCTCGAGGAGAAACACAAAGGGGCGGGCGAAACGACAGTGACAGCCCAGCCCTCACCCGGAGCCACATCTGCAAGTTCCCTCCAGGACGACTTGCGGAGGAAAGACCCAGGGCGCACCGGTGGGGCAGGGCTCTGGGCCCCTCTGCAGCACCCAGGATGCAACCATTGCTTTAACCTGATTAACAGATCACCCCGCTTGGGCTCTTCCGGGGACACAGCCACGGTGGCTTCAGAATCCAGTGAGCCGCTGAGGCAGTTCCCGGAAAGCTTCAGCCCTGCCCTGCTCACCAGTCACCTGGCCCCGGCACTGAGCACCTGTGATCTCAGTTCATCACCACGCCGCCAGCGCACGTGCACACGCACACACTCACACGCACACACTCTTGCACACTCACACACACACACTCTCACACACACACACACACGCACGTTCAGCGTGCTGGGGGTTTGTCACGAGCAGTGGCCGTGCTAACATCATCATCTCCATCACAGCTTGTCAAAAGGAACTCTTAGTGCTTTGAAGAGAAGACACAAGGCTTGGAGGGCTTACAAAACCCACGTGGGGGAGACCCAAAGGCAGTGACTGTGTGAAAGGCTGGGGGCCCCGGGCCTGGACACGCGCCTGGGCTTGGGCTCAGCTCCTCTGGCCCTCTGCTGGCTGCTGGCAGCCTGGGCACCCCCACCCCCTCACGGGGAAGCTGTGACAGTAGCACTGTCTGTCTCAGGGTTGCACAGGGGTGAAATGACAGGGTACAGGCAGTCACAACAGGCACAGAGGACAGCACGGCGCACAGTGAACATCAGTGACGCCAGCCGGGGGCTGCGGGAGTGGCTGCCAGTCTCTCCACGGCCACTTCCACCCCCTCCGCTCTCTGGAGGTGACTCGGAGACACTCAGTGGTGCTGACGG